TCAGAGCCAGGAGGTCATAGGAAGATAGTTTGTAAGCATGCCTAATGTCCATGACTATCTACCTTGTAGGGACAGAAGCTTGTTAGTAATCTGTGATAGTACTAAAAAGCTGAAGTTATAAAATGTGGGGGCTGGTTTAAATCACAACCCCTGTGTGTGCCAAAAGCCCTAATTGGCAGTAACTTTTGATCTAACACCAGCTACATGAAATTTATCTGCTCAAGAAAAAAGTTTGTAAACCTGAGAGTGTGTTTCTATTAACATCTGTCTAAAGGCCTGCACAGGTGACTTAGGCATTTTTAGGTTCACTAGAGGTCACATTCCTAAAGATGCTATTACAAACCAGAGTGTGAAACAAGCTACACTGCTGTAGCCGAAGAAAAAGTCTGTGCATTTGTCAAAAGTTAAAATATTGTTCTTAATGACATCTAACCCTGGTAACCTCTTTGTAAAATAGACTAAGGTTATAGGTTCCTGGCTAGGTAGGATCAACACCCCTGAGTCAGCTTGAAGAAGTTACAGAAGATGAATCTTCGCCAATCATCCCCTTTTTAGAACAAGGGACCAGAGTCATTAAAAAAATGTGGCAATGGGGGCTGGGAAGGTGGCTCAGTGGTAGAGCGCTTGCCTTGCACGCATGAGGCCCTGGGTTCGATTCCTCAGCACCACATAAGCAAAAAGAAAAAAGCTGGAAGTGGCACTGTGGCTCAAGTGGTAGAGCGCTAGCCTTGAGCTGAAGAGCTGAGGGACAGCACCCAGGCCCAGAGTTCAGGCCCCAGGACCGAACCCAAAAAAAAAAAGTGGCAAAATAGACAGAAGAAAAAATCATGGAAAATAGGAGTGCAGGCCTGAGCCCTCTATATCTGCCTAGAAAATCAGCCTTATTAAAAGAACTATCTAGTTAAAAAAGGTTGTCATCTTGGTAAATTGTCCTGGGCTATTGTCTAAATAGTCTTAAAAACTAGTGGGGCCACAGCCTGCCAAGCCTATGTATTACTTGTATCTTTAACCAGTCTGTGTAGAAATTTACAGCCCAACACGAGGTGTGACAGTCCCTTGGAACCACTGAGAGACCCTGCTGCTGCTGCTACAGCCTGACAGTCACCTGGAGGAAATCTACATCATTATCCTGACTACCTCCATCGTGGAAAAAGTAGACTAAACTCCTGCCTGATTCCATCTTTTGGATGGCTTCGCTTTGTCCTTGTTACCATATACCTACTCTAATTTTACTATGGCTACTCCTCTTGCTGGGGAGACTAGCAAACATTGTATTGCTCATTCCCTACACTGCTTTGCCATTATGGGACTTCCTAAACATATTAAAACTGATAATGGTCTGGGATATGTTGGACAAGCTTTTCAAACTTTTTGTAAATCTTACCAGATTGTTCACTCTACAGGTATTCCCTATATTCCTCAAAGACAGGAAATTGTTAAACAAGCCAACGGGCTGTTAAAATACCAAATTTTTTTAATTAAAAGGGGGGAATTATACCTCTTCTCCCTTGTTAGTATTCTTCTCACGCTTTATTTGTACTAAATTTTTAAAGCTTAGATTGTAATGGCCTTTCCCCAGCACAGCGGTTTTGGGGGAAAAAAAGAGAGCAAAGAGCTTTTGCCCAAGTTAAGTGGAAGGATCCTTTAACAGGTGATTGGCACGGGCCCCGATCCAGTTTTAACTTGGGGTCGAGGACATGTTTGTGTTTTTTCGCAGGAAGAAAATAAATCCCACTGGTTGCCTGAGCATTGAGTTAGGATTGTGGAGGCTCATTCAGATGACACAAACGCTGACACATTGGGCTTATGTGCCAGATCCCCCAATTGTACACCCTACAACTTGGGAGGGAGTTGAAGTACTCATTCACATCAATAGATCAGCATACAGTACAGCCCCCGATTCCTTCATCCAGCACACTAAGATGGGAGATATCTCAGCTTCAGGCATTGGAACTCCTTTATGCTTTACCACCAACTCTAAAGGCTCCATTCCAGGCTGTATTATAATGCTATCCATGACTCATAAAATTTGGATCCCGGACAAAAATCAAATGTACAATATACAGATGACATCTTTACCAACTGGGCACCCAGTTCATGCAAATTCTACTCCATCCTATATGATCCCCTGTTGCATTAGTTCTTCACAAATAGTATCTACAGGAGAGCCTCATCCAATAAGGTACAGACATGTACAGCCATTTGTTACCAATATTTCTGGAACTAACTCTCAATTAATGGACTAGTCTGGAGCTAATCTTACTAATAAGTACAATCCTGGGCTGTGGTGGATGAATGGGCATCCTCAACATCATGTTTGGATGCTGGTGGCTGCACTCAACAGCATAACCTGGCCCAATTCATTCTTTAAAAAAAAATATGAGTTGTGATCACCACCTTATGTCATTATGTATGGACTGTTTAATATTTCTGTAGGAGCTAATTATTTTAATGTTACCTGCTCTAATTGTTCTTTTACTAATTGCTCGTATAGCGGCATAACTAAATCCATACTTATTGTTAGACAACCATCCAGGTTGGCCTTCATATTTCCATCTTTCTGTCCCTACCTCCCAAGTGCTAGGATTACTTAGGCGGCAGAGACAGGTGGACCATGAGTTTTCAAGGCCAGTCTGGGCTACATAGTGGGGGGGGGAGAGAAACACCCTAAAACTGAGATTGAGCCAAAGCCCTTTCCCCTGGTCTGGGGAACCAAGGCTCCAAGACTCTGCACAGCGCAAGAGGCTCAGGGGAGGCGGGTGCAGCCTCCAACACGCCTGCATTCTGACCACCTGATGGGGTGGGAGGGGAGGGGGCAGATGTTGGGAGCCGACAGTAAAGTTTAAAGATCATCTTGACCCTGGTGCTCACTTAAAAGCACATACAAGGAACTGGCTTACTTAAAAAACACCAGGTGCCCAGGATTGCTTTGCTATGTCTGCAGAGTTTGTTTTACTTTCTACCAGTTGACCTTGTCTTGTTTTTACTGCACTCTGTTTTTACTGAAATTTTCCTTGTTTTTCTGGACTATGGTAACCTTATGTTACCTCTTGACTTCTAATAGTATATATTAGGGAAAGTTAAAAATAAATGGTGCTGCAGTCTTGAGTTGCAGGCCTCCCAACCCCATCCTTTGTCTTATGTCTTTAGTTTTCCGCATCCTTGCCCCCTCATTCAGGATTCCCTTTTGTTGCCGGCAGGCTCCGGCACCGGGGTAAGGTGGCATCATTTGGATATGTCCCTTGAAACTTCCGATGCTGAAATCCTATCTCCTAGCTCCTATGGTGATAGCAGACAGCTCCCTCTCTCCCACCCTCCCCCGGTGACCTGTCATGGAATTCCCACACTCAGCAAGTGTACCATTCTTCCAAAAAATGCCTTCCATTCGCCCACTATGCCCGAGTCCGTCAGCCAGCTACCAAGTTCTGCCCTCCATCTGTGACCTATCTCACCCCAAAGGGGTCAAGGCACTGCAGGGGCAAGGGGGTGTCCCCTTCTGCCCAGGACAGGCTCTGGCTCTAGGGAGCCACCCCCCCCCCCACCCCAGGAATGAGGTGCTCTCCAAGGTGCTGGTGCAGACTGAGCTTCCTTTGGAGCTGTCCGCAGCTCTCTGGAAAAGCCTGGTGGCACAAAGCAGAAGGCCAATGAGGTGGGAGACCCTCTCATGTCCACCGGAGGAGGCTCGGAGGCGAGGAAAAGACCTCTGCTCCTCCCCCTCGTCCTCCTGCCCACCCTCGGGAACGACCTACGTGCAATGTCAACGTTGTCACCTTGCCAAGGGCAGGGACGGTGGCTGCTCGGTGCTGCCCCCACATGGTGAGGAGTGACACGGAGAATGTTTGCGGGGCTGGACTTTGTGTGTGGCTTCATTACATAGCATAAGCTGCTCTAGAACTCAAGACACCATCCAGGTTGGCCTTCATATTTCCATCTTCCTGTCCCTACCTCCGAAGGGCTAGAATTACTTAGGCGGCATAGACAGGTGGACCATGAGTTTTCAAGGCCAGTCTGGGCTACATAGTGGAGGGTGGGGGGGTGGGAAACACCCTAAAACTGAGATTGAGCCAAAGCCCTTTCTCCTGGTCTGAGGAACCACGGCTCCACGACTCCGGACAGCGCAAGAGGCTCGGAGAGGCGGGCGCAGCCTCCAGCGCGCCTGCGTCCTGACCACCTGACCGGGCGAGGCGGGGCTCGAGCTCAGGACATTCTGGGAAGACTCGGAAGGGAGAGCGATCAGAGGAAGGTGGTCTTGGAAGTCTACGATCTCCCATATCCCATCCAGGCCTCTGTCACCGGTCCTCCATCCTTGGGCTGCACCTCTGGCTTCGCGTGCCGTGTTGTGCACTCGTGTTCCCGCCCAAAGTCTGCACAGTGGTCCCGCTACCTACAGCCCCCCAAATCGCTGACAGGTGAGGGTCTGTGAGGGGTGAGAAACTCGCCAGCAGTAACCAGACCCCTTTCTCATGCAACTGCGCATACGCACTACTCCTGGCGCCGCTCTGACCCCAGCTGTGGAATCCGCCGTGCGCATGCGCCAATCCCAACACACACACACACACACACACACACACACACACACACACACACACACACACACACACACACACACACACACACACACTTCTCATTCGCAACCCCAACAAACCAGAAATCATATGCTCAGTAATTCCCTTCATAGCCTATAAAACACACACAAAGTCAGCAATTCGCCTCGTTTTACGCATACCGCACGGCAACAGCACACAAACACAACGATAGTACAGTTCGCCCGGCTCTACGCCCGTACGCAGGCGCAGAAGAGAAGCCAGGCACTGTATTTTGGGAGAAGTAGGCAGAATGGAAAAAAGAGCTGCAAGGGTTGTCGGGAGTTGTAGGCAAAGCAGTCTCGAAGACACCGGCGCCTTGGCGGGACTGTTGCATTCTGGGAGCCATAGCAGGGCTGTTCCGAGGCCTTCTGGGAGTCGTAGTCTCAGAGCCACTTCCGCTCCCAGCTTCCGCGTTCTGGGCGTGGAGGTCCGCGCCGCGTTTGGCCCGGGTGAGTGTTCTCTCTTCTTCCTGCCGCCCCCCGATCCCAGCATCGGAGTGGCCTGCGCCCCGTGCTTCGGTGATCTGGGAGGATTGACGGTCCCTCTGGACCAGAGTGGCGAACTCGCCTCTAGTTTCCAACGCCTGTGTCCCAAATGCCAGAACTCCCGCTTCGGGCACTGTGGTCCTGCCCGCCACCCGGCAGGAGTCAAAAACTTGGGGTGTGGGGGGGATGGGGGAGGGAGGAGGAGGCTAGGGGACGCCGCTCAGCCGTGACAGATGAGCCTATGGTCCCGGGAGGTGAGTCCTGCAGGATTAGAAGCTATGTGGAGTGGAGTCAAGGGCCTGAGTGGTGAAGGAGGCCAGCCGATGACGTCAGAGAAGACGTCACATGGTCTCTCACAGACCATCCGCATTTCTCAGAGTGAGATGACGTGCCTGTTACCCCACCCACTACTGGGGAAGCGATGGTGGCTAGGTGGAGTGTTCGAGGCCAGACTCTGCTACCTACTGGGCTAGGGAAACCCAGCCTGAACATATGAATGGATGAGTGGTATATACCCCAGGCCAGTCTTGGGTACGTGTAGAGACTCTGTCTCAATCTAGGCAGAAAGATAGCTCTATTAGATACAGAAAGACCGAATAGACTATAAAAAAAAAATGTCTGTCTGTCCATGGCCAACTTAGTTTGTGTGGCAAGTTCCAAGCCTATGTAGCCAAACCCCATCTCAGTCAGCAACAAGTAAGTAAATAAAGTGAGATTAGGCTCATAGCAGGATGCTAAGGAGGCCTTTGTCCAATGGTTCAGGAGAAACCATGGGGTAGACTCAGCCCTGCCAACCTCCGAGTTGATGGCCGGCTCGAGGGCTGTGCAGACACAGCTGTGCGTGTAACCCGCCTCTCTCTCCCCGTGCAGGTGCAGCCGACCCCTCCCGCCCCGGCCTCCGTGCCCCAACCATGCCTGCCCCGACGTGCGCCTCGTGCCAGGCGGCTCGCGCCGCCCTCCGCCGCCCGCGCTCGGGCCAGGCGCTGTGCGGCGCCTGCTTCTGCGCTGCCTTCGAGGCCGAGGTGCTGCACACGGTGCGTGCAGGCCGCCTGCTGCCGCCGGGCGCCGTGGTAGCCGTGGGCGCTTCGGGCGGCAAGGACTCCACGGTGCTGGCGCATGTGCTGCGCGCGCTCGCGCCGAGCCTGGACATCACGCTGCACCTGGTGGCCGTGGATGAGGGCATCAGTGGCTACCGGGACGCCGCGCTGGCAGCCGTGCGCGACCAGGCGGCCAGCTGGGGGCTGCCGCTCACCATTGTGGCCTATGCGGACCTCTTTGGGGGCTGGACGATGGACGCCGTGGCCCGCAGCACAGCCGGCTCGGGCCGCAGCCGCTCCTGCTGCACCTTTTGCGGGGTGCTGCGGCGCCGCGCGCTGGAGGAGGGGGCGCGACGCGTGGGGGCCACACACATCGTGACAGGTGAGCGCATGCGCGGTGGCGGGTGGGGCGCGCGGGCGGGGAGGGCACTGAGAGGGCGCACCATGAATCAGAGCCTGACTCTCCCCTCCCCCCAAGACTGGTGAGGCCGGGCTGGGGCCAGGCAGAGGGTCCCGAAAGACTTCAGTCTTGGCCTGGAGGTCTCCCTGACTCCCTGCAGCCCCTCCCGGGCCCTGGCTGTCCTGGGTTCCCGGGTCTCCATGACCCCCTCCAGCCCCTCCCGGGGTCCCCCACCCATCCCCACCCCCTGCAGCGATCCGGCGGAGCGAGGACCCCGCGCCCTGACCCACACGGCTCTCTCCCGCCTCCAGGTCACAACGCGGACGACATGGCGGAGACGGTGCTCATGAACTTCCTGCGGGGCGACGCGGGGCGGCTGGCGCGCGGCGGGGGCCTGGGGTCGGCGGGCGAGGGCGGCGCGCTGCCGCGCTGCCGGCCGCTGCAGCTGGCGTCGCAGAAGGAGGTGGTGCTGTACGCGCACTTCCGCCGCCTCCGCTACTTCTCCCGCGAGTGCGCATTCGCGCCCGAGGCCTTCCGCGGGTACGCGCGCCAGCTGCTCAAGCGCCTGGAGGCGGCGCGGCCGTCGGCCGTGCTGGACCTGGTGCACTCGGCTGAGCGCCTGGCGCTGGCCCCCACCGCGCGCCCCCCGCGCCCCGGCTCCTGCTCCCGCTGCGGGGCGCTGGCCAGCCGCGCGCTCTGCCAGGCCTGCGCGCTCCTGGACGGCCTCAACCGCGGCCGCCCTCGCCTGGCCATCGGCAAGGGCCGGCGCGGGCTGGACGAGGGACTGGGCGAGGCGGGGCCGGAGGATGGAGCACCGGGTAATGGGGGGCCGGGGTGCACCCCTGCCGCCACCGCCGAGACCAAGGCCGGCCCTGCAGCCTCTCCGGTCCCTGTGGGCCCAGGTGAGGATGGAGACGGGGCTGTAGCCGCTCTGGGCCCGGTGTGATGCCGCCTGGGTCCAAGGGGGGAAGCACGGGCCGCACAGCTGGGTCCAGGTGGGCTGGGGCTGCTCACTGAGCCCCTCAGTGGGGCCTGGACGGCTGGATCTGGCCCAGTCTGCCCCCAGAGAGGTAAACACAGTCACAGGATGCGAACAGTGAGCACCATCTGCGGACACCTGCACTTCATCCCGCCTTGCCCTCCAGATGGAGCTGATGGAGCAGCCATGCGGAGGATGGTTCCATCCCTTCCGGGTCTCCATGTTCCCTCGAGGGTGGAGGAGGCTGCTGGGCTCCAATGACAGCATTGGAAGTGGAGCCAGCTCCGCCCTCGGGGTGCACACTGTTTGGGGGAATGGAAGGCAGGAGGTGGAGGAGGCCGCCAGGGCCCTCCAGTCCCGAGTCCCAGGTCACAGCGCGAGGCTCAGGAGGGGGTGAGCCCCTCCACCTTCCCTGGGGACTCGCTCTCAGCCTACCTCCCGAATACTGGCCTGAATCTTTCTCAGAGATGTGCACCTTTCCCATCATCCTGCCTTGACACTGCCCCCTTGGCCCACCCAGCCCTGGCCAGGAGACACTCTCAGACCCTTGTGTTCCATAGGGCTGGTGGGCAGGACCGATGTCCAGCCTCTCCAGGTTGCCCCAGTAACAGCATCAGCATCACCATCCAAGTGTCCCTCCAGCACTTGCTGTATGTGTATAGGGCTCTGGTGCAAGGGGCCTGCCCACCGCCCTCTGGACTGACAGTCTGCAAGAGACCTAGCAGTTGTCAAATAAATATTTAACATCTGAGAGGAGCAACTGTCCCAGCTTTTTTCGAAGGGGGAACATGGGGAAAGAGGAAGCCTCCAGGAGCCCCTGAAATCTGAACTGGCATCTGGGCCATAGGCATTGAAGCAGAGATGGCATAAAAGGCAGCAAAGAAGCCAGCAGCCCACTGGCAGGGGAGAGGGCTCCCTGGGCAGAGGAACCTCACCCCGAAAGAGCCAGGATGTGAGAACAAATTTGTCCAGCCTGGAGAGAGCCATTCAAGGGGGCCAGATCAGAGACCATGGGAGATGAGCAAGGTCAGAGGTAGAGCCGGGGTCTTGTCATGTACAGGGTCCTGAGCTCAATCCTCAGTACAGAGCTGAGGGAAGATGGCTGAGGCCATGCCCGTGTGCCCAAGAAGCAACCTGCCTCTGGTTCAGTGAGGAGACTGGTGATAATGGGCAGGTGGGGGCCCCCAGAGCAGGAGATGACACCCAAGGGTGCACCAGCAGCCCTTGAGAGGACAGGGGGTTCTTGCTCCTTTTGTTCTGCAGCCTGCTGGAAGCCTGGAGAACCAATTACAGATGCGGTTTTGCATTTAACTCTGAACTTGAGGAGAGCCAGGGATAGTTAAGCCCCATGGCATTGGGGCTTAAAGGGCCACCAGCCCAAATGGGAAGGTGCAGTTCACAGCTGTGGCCACGAGGGGGCACCATGACACCGCCTGTGCACCAGGCGGCCATTGACTGCAAGGCTGCCAGTGTTGAGGCATCCTGCTACCTCCGCAGGTATCTGCACCAGGAGAACAAGGGGACCGTTGACCCCAGGACCACCCCTGGGCTGGTTCACACATTCCCCACATTGATTGAGGCAGAGCTCTGCAAGGCAGGGTGAAGGAGAGAAGGACCATAGGTATGAGGCTAGCCCAGGTACAAGTGTGAAAAAAATAATAAATCGAAGAGCAAAAGACCAGAAGTGGCTCCAGGGTAAGGTGTCTGCGTAGGGAACCCGAGGCCCTAAGTTCAACCCCCAGTACTGCCCAAGGGAGAAAATGTGCTCACTGAGGAAGAAGTGCAAACCCTCTTGGTGCTCAGGATGGAAAGAACAACAGGAATTCAAAGATCATGTCAGTCCTAGAGATCCACTGAAGTGAAGGTGTTTTCCCACAGACAGCATTGTGAACTCTTGAAGAGTTTGCTGAGGGCAGGAGGGCCAGCCGGGCTATGGCTTTGTAAAGACAGAAACCCTGCACAGGACAAGGACCCTTTCTGCCTGTTGACTGAGGTCAGGAGCATTCTCTCCTCTGGAGGGTCTGGAAGGTAGACGTTGCCACCTGCCACCTCTGTGGGCTCTCCCCTGGCTGGGTCAGTGGGGAACAGGGACCACTGAGACAACAGGAATTGGGCTCCTAGATCATCCCACTGGCTCAGCCGATTCCCATGGTCCCTGCCTCGTGCCTGGTGCCAGACCATGCACGAACGAAGCAGGCAAGCACCCTGCCCTAGCCCAGCCCCAGTGCGAATCGTGTTTCGTTCATGGCTGGTTACTGCCAGCCAGGGTGCAGGGCAAATCCTGTCCTGTAAGAGCTGACACTCATTGATATGTCTGAGTAAGAAAGACAATAAATAACACATGAGGGGCGTCCAACTTGGCTAGGTGCCAACGAGAGAAAAACCCAGCAACAAACAAGGAAGCAGGCGAGCAAAGCAATTACCAATTAAAATGAAGCGTGGGGAGGGAGTTGAGATGTCAGCTGTGAAGATGATGATGGAGAGAGGAACTTTCACGCTGAGACGCGAAGGGTGGAGTGGGGGGAAGCGTGTGTGTTGGGCAGGAGGAATAGCCGAGACCCAGGCCCTGAAGTAGGCAGATGCCAGCCTGGGCATCAGAGGAGGGTCTGTGGCTGATGGAAAGTTGCTACCCACCGCCGGCCCTGGGGCAGTTGGGTTTGATTTCAGTCCCAGCTGGGCCCTCACCTGGCTTTGGGACAGGCCTCAACAGGACTGGACGTGAGGCTCCAGTTGGGATGCTCTTGCACCTGCCCAGGCCAGAGATAAGGCTGGTTGGCTTGGCTAGAGGGAGGCCGAGAGGAGATAAGTGGGTGGAATCCTTGCTCTATTTTGGAGCTGGGGTGACAAACTGCCAAAGCTGGAGGTGAAAAGAGCCAAGGAGAAGTCACACTGCACCTAGCTCGCGAGCCAGGGAGCTGAGGGAAGACTGGGGACCATGGGGAGGGCTTAAAGGAGAAATGGGATGAGGTGGATGCTGGAAATAGAAAGGACACGGGCACAGCAGCCGGCACTGGGGGCATGCGGGGTGTTCACCCACGATGTACGCCTAAGAGATGAGCCAGAGAGGTTGGGCCACCCCACGGCCACCTGGCAGGAGTGGAACGGGGGCACGGAGCCAGGTGGGTTCGAGTTCAAATCCTGCCTCTTGTCACTTGCTCACCACGCAGTCTGGGGCACCTGGCCTCATTTGTCTTTTCACTTGTGAAGTGGGGGATGAGGTGGGCACCCCCTGGCAGCGCTGAGACACAGAATATGAAAAGCTGCTCCTCCCAGAACCCCCACCCCCACCCCAGGGAGGACAGAGGGAGGTCTGTTTGTCCCTCTTATAAATTATCTGCGCTCACTCCAATCCTTTCCAGGCTACTGGCTGGGTGTTTAGCAACCAAACATGCTGGGTTCAAATCCCGGCTCTGCCACCTCTGCCCTAACCCTGGTTTCCTCGGCCACACCCGGGCACCAGCGTCTGTAATATTGACTAACTTTTCTGAGGATTCAGTGTGACGCTGGCGGTTTCGATGTTTGTGCTTGGTAAGAGATGGGCCGCGATGGCTCACACGAGAGCGTCAGGAGAGGACCCCTGTACCCTGGCTGGAGTGCTCTTCCCACGCCCCCACCCAGCACGTCTGCCAACACCAAGCCTGACCACAGCCTCCCTCCGCTTCCGTCATGCCTGTCATGCCTGTCCTTCACCGTAGGATGCCACCCGCCCTCCGTGGCTCTCTGTGGTCACCCACAGATCCTTGGCCTCCCGAGGCTGCCCTCCAGCCTGGGCACTTTCTCTGCCTCTGTCCGGCCTGCTGGAGACGATGCCCCCCCCCCATCCCCCGCGTCTGCCCATTCCCCCTCCCGACCCCCAGGCAGCATCCTCAGCCCCCTGACCCCTGAAAAATAGAAGCTACTAGGAGGAGGGTGCGGCCTCCACTTCCTGGCCTCCACCTGGCCCACGCCCCTTCCTCTTCCTCTCCCTGGAACAATGGGAAGGTGGCTCTCCCCAGGTCTGGAGTTAATCCCACCACTTAGCTGGCTGCCCGGCTCCACTCACTGAGCCACACCGAGCCACCTCAGAGCCTTGTGCAACCTGGGGCGGGGCCTGACCTCGTCTCACTTCCGGTCCCACGCATGCAGGGGAAGGATCGGCTGAGCTCCTTCACTTCACACCGAGGCCCTGGTGGAACCGACACTTCGATTTCCGGCTGGGAGGCCTTGGGCAAGCCACAGCTTATCTTTTTCTCTCTCTGCCTCAGTTTCCCAGTCTAAAATGGGGGTCTAAAAGAGAGCGCCTACCCTGTGTGTACCTCAGTTTATCCTCCATTCCTTTCTCATCACCCTGGCCTCTAGTCCTAGACTCCTCACACCCCCTCCACCTCAGGACATTTGCACACCCTTCTCCCAGTCACAAAGCCCTCAGGACTCAGTATATATTGTGTTCAGTTATTTTCTTTCTTTTTTTTCTTCCAGAATATAAGGCAGCAATTTATTTTGGTTTATTTGGTTCATTATTGTTTCCCATGCCTAAAACCGTGTGTGTGTGTGTGTGTGTGTACATAGTAAGTGCTCAATGAACACTGATTGACAGGAGGGAGGGAAGGCGGTGGACAGGGCTCTGGTGGAGTACCAGCTGGCCAAGCAAAAGACCCTGAGTTCAAGCCCCACGTCCCTGCAAATGAAGGAGGAGGAGGAGGAGAAGGAAGACACAGACTAAAAAAACAAATGTGCCCTGTTTTCTGTCGCATGCAGACTCTAGATCTAAATGTGAGCAAATGAGATGACATGAACATCAAAAGGGGCCTCTTTGCAGAGGTGCCAGTGGCTCACGCCTATAATCCCAGCTACCCAGGAGGCTGAGGTCCGAGGATCACAGTTCCAAGCCCGCAGGGGCAGGAAAGTCCGTGAGACTCCTATCTCTAGTGAGCCACCAAAATTAGAAGTGGAGATGTGGCCCAGATAGTCGAGCGCTGGCTTTAGGGGAAACAGCTAAAGGACAGAGTCCAGGTCCAGAGTTCAAGCCCCAGTACCAGCACATACAAAAAAAACTGGGAAGGGGAGAGGAGAGCTACAGAGAGGAGCAAGTGAGGGATCAGGGACTGAGAGGGTATGGAGGCAGAAGGGTATGAGCGAAGTACCTTGCAATGAAGCCCAGTGCACAATAAAACACGTAAACAAATAAAACGTCTCCACACCGCCCATCTCTTGGTCTCCACACCCCATCTTGCGGTCAATCCTTCGGAGCCTCTGGTCACCTCAGCTCACCCCCAACCTATGCATTTCTTTGGGGCCTCCTCCGCACTCTTCGTCCCCCCAGAGGTGCATCTGGAACATGTGTGTGTGCATGCACACACGTGTGCATGCCCGCCCGGTTGCTGTCCTGCCACTTCACCGCTCAGAGAAGCCCTGGCCTACAGCCACCAGCAGCCCCCGTGCCAGCCTCTTCTGTGTGCCCAGGGTTTTTCTGCCACGAAGGTTGGGCTGGGCTGGGCTGCGCTGTGCAGGCCTCGGCTCCCCATGGAGTCATGCGCTCGTGCACTGGACAGGCATGCGGACTAGATGCACAGTGGGGCAGCCTGGCTGGCGGAGCAAGACCCCGGCTGCACCCTGCAGACCCCTGGGAAGGAAGTGGCCAGGAAGCCTGTCTCCCCCCCCGAATATCAGGTGGAGGGCTCCCCACATAGGAGAGGGAGGACCAAGTCTTCTGAGTCACCCAGCACCGCCACCCCCATCCCAGGGCTGGGTCTGTCGTGGGACTACAAAGACCTGGGGACAAATTACAATCATTAAGGGAATTTAAGAGGCTGGGGGAGGGGCTGCGGAGGGCAGGACCGAACCCCCAGGACCAGGACCAGTCCCGGGCCGGCTGGACCTCTCCCCTTTTCCTCCATGCTCCCACCCCGGTGTGAGTCTCCATCTCTTCCTCTCCCCCCCCCCCCGCCCTCCCTCCCTCCTTCCTTCCCAGCACTTTCCTCTGAACCCATACCCCTCCCCAGATTTCACTCACCCACCACCCAATCCACCCATCCAGCGCCCCACCCGCCTGGCTCACCTGGGGTCATCTTTCCCGGCTGCCCAGATTTTGGCATCTTTCACCAGGGCGGGTCTCAGCTTTGGTGGCTGTTTCTTTGGCTAGAGAGGGGAGGGAGGGGGGAGAAGAAGGGGGGGAGAGAAGAGAAGGAGGGAAGGGTGGAGGGAGGGAGGAAAGGGGGAGGAAGGGAGAGAGAAAAGGAGAGGGAGGGAGGAATAGAGGGAAGGGGACAGAAAGGGAGGGATGGAGGGAGGGAGGCAGGGGGGAGGGAGAGAAGGAGGGGAGCAGGGAGTTCTGGAATGGAAACTAAGCAATAAAAAAAAAAAGGGCAGCAGGGTGGTGGGGGCAGGGCATCCACCTGACCAGGGATAAAAGGCTTTGCTGGCGTGGCTGGGGAGACACCACCCCACCTCCTCCCACACCAGAGGGACCTGAGCGAGCATCGTTGTCCGTGTCCTCACCGGAGGGCCTCCAACCCCACCGCTCATCCATCCTCCAGTCTGTCTTGCCTCCACGTCTCCAGGGGCCTCTTGCAGATTCCCTCTCTCCCGTCTTCTACCTGCATCTGCCAGAATGTTCCTTCTGCTGGCAGCCCTCCACATCTTGGCTGGAGGTAAGAGAGCAGAGAAGCTTCTGGAAGAGCTGGAGCACAGGTTCTGGAGTGGATGCTGGAGGAAGCCTGGTCCAGAAAGCCCAGAGCTCAGGTTTGGGGGGGGCATGGGGGGGGTGGAGGCAGTCCTCACTGGGATGTCATAGGAAACAGTGGGGTTCCGGAGAGAGGCAGTTGGAGGAGGTGAGTAAGGAATGGGGGGCCCACAGGGGTCCTCGAGTGAGTCCTGTCAAGATGGTAGACCCTAGGACTCTGCTTGGTCACCGTGGGGGCAGAAATGATGTGGCAAAGGTGGTTGTTGGGGTGTGGGGGGGGAGGGGGGTCGTGGGGTGGGTCCTGGGAGCATCATTTCTCCAGGGAAATGTCATTGAGGGAAGGGTCCAGAACATCCTGGTGCCCCCAGGCCTATGGCTCTCCTGGCAGAGTCCCATGAGGTCCTGAGTTCAATCCCCAGTCTTCCCCCGCAAAAAATAAAAGCCTTCCTGGCTGTGAGCACAGAGGCGTGGGTGGCGGGGCCGGGGGGGACGCAAGGAGATCCTGGGCATCCTACAGGGCTGGGGTTGGAGAAGATGGGGTTACCTGCTCGGCCTGTCCACTCGCAGCCCGGGCGCAGAGCCCGGTGGATGACGATCACAGAATCATCGGCGGCTATGAGTGCAACAAGAACTCGCAGCCGTGGCAGGCGGCGCTGCTGGCCGGCCCGGGGCGGCGTTTCCTGTGTGGAGGGTCCCTGCTCTCCGACAAGTGGGTCCTCACTGCTGCCCACTGTGCTCGCCCGTGAGTGACCCTCCCTCCACACCCATGCCCGGTGTGCTTTAGAGTCTGCAGCCACGTGCCTGGTTTGCAGGGGGGTGAGGGGGGTCTACAGAAGAGCCTAGAAGGAAAGGCAAAGCTCAGGAGATAGAATCCAGCTAAGATTCCTGAACCCAGATAAGCTTTTCTTTTCTTTTCTTTTCTTTTCTGAAAGAAATCTACTCCACAGCCCGTGGGCCAGTGCATTCCAGATTCATTCCACATTCAGGGCACAGGATCTTGAGCATTACCTAGAACTTAGAACCCAGTTCAGAACAATTCTACCCCTCAATCTAGAACCCATCTTTCAGCTGTAAAGATATTGAGTCAGAACCTAGAACTCCTTCCTGATCTAAGTAAGGCTGAACTTGGAGTTGAACCGACAGCTCCTCTTTGAGCATCTCAGCACTCTGAGTGCTGCCTAAAATTTCTATCCCAGGATAGAGGCCATAATCTACAGACTCTCAAGAACTCAGAGCTCTTCCTAGCTTCTGCATCCCAGCCTTGACAGACTCTGCCCAGTAGAGTCACCTGTCTCCAGACTAATGCCACTATGTAAGGTTCAATCTAGAACACTCAGGGAACCTCTAGAGTAACATAAAGCCAGAACAAAATCCAGCTTTTAGTTCCTCTGATCCAGAACATCCTCTAGCGCTCTATCAAGGTTTACAGATTCATCTTAAAGTCTGGGGTTCAGACCAAAGTTGAGAATCAACAGCCCCCATGGAAACCTATCATTTACTCCAAAACAGGTCTCACCTAGAACCAAGAGTTCACACTAGATCATACGCAAGAACATAGAAAAAAGCTTACTCCAGAGCTTGATCTCAGCACCTAGATCATGTAGAATCTGCTAGCTTGGGTTGTGATCCATTGCTGGTTATGGAATTCTCAGCCTGTTCTGGAAGCCTTCATCAAAATCCAAAACCCAAACTGAAGTTACACACCGAGGCCAGTCAGAAGAGAATTCTTAGCCCATCCCTACAACCGGAAGCTCACATCAGAGTCTAGAAGTGATGCCGAGGTCCGGATTCGCTCTAGAATCTAGACTCAAGTCTAACACGTGACAAGGTCTAGAACTCAGAACCCACCCAGGCTAGAACCAGCCGGGGGCCTGTGCTAGCATATGGGTTCTGAGGAAGAGCCTAGAGCTAGAACTTAGGGGATCAGTTAGAACCCAAAGAATAGGTATCTTCACACCCCCAAGAATGAAGCCAAGAACACAAAGCCTTCTACACAGGGCCAGAAACTCAAGTGCAATGCAAAAGGGGAGTGGCCTCGGGTGAGGCTGAGTGAGGCCTGGCAGGGCTCGGCCAGGTGAGGCCAGGACAGGCTAGGTGCAGAGGCCATCTCCCGCCAGGGAGGGAAACCGGTGGGGGAGGGAGGGGCTCTGGGTGGGCTCTAAGCCTGGTTCCTCTCGGGGTCCCGGGCCAGGATCCTTCATGTGGCCCTGGGCAAGCACAACCTGAGGCGGTGGGAGGCCACGCAGCAGATCCGGCGCGTGGTTCGCCAGGTGCCGCACCCCCAGTACAATCCCCGCACCCACGACAACGACCTCATGCTGCTGCAGCTGCAGCGGGCCGTGCCACTGGGGAGAGCCGTGCGGCCCATCGCACTGGCCTCCGCCTGCGCCAGCCCCGGGACACCCTGCCGGGTGTCGGGCTGGGGGACCACCTCCAGCCCTATCGGTAAGGAGTGGCATCCCGGGGGGACAGATGTGGGGACCTTCTTAATATGGCAGGAGAGAGCTGGGATCTGGAACCTGGGTCTGAGGGAGTAGTTTGGGGCCTGGACCCCTGAGTCTGAGGGAGGAGGCTGGGGCCTGGACTCCTGGGTCTGAGGGAGGAGGCTGGGGTCTGGACCCTTGGGTCTGAGGGAGGAGGCTGGGGTCTGGACCCTGGGTCTGAGGGAGGAGGCTGGGGCCTGGATTCCTAGGTCTGAGGGAGGAGGCTGGGGCCTGGACCCCTTCGTCTGAGGGAGGAGGCTGGGATCTGGCCCCTGGGTCTGAGGGAAGAGGCTGGGGTCTGGTCCCTGGGTCTGAGGGAGGAGGCTGGGCCTGGGCTGGGTCCCAGTGTAGGGCATGCCCCAGTTCTGACCCCGTGTGTCCCCACAGCCAATTTCCCCCCAACCCTGCGCTGTGCGGACATCAGTGTCTTTCCGGAGCAGACCTGCCGCCAGGCCTATTCTGGAGCTATCACGCCCAACATGGTGTGTGCTGGCGTCCCCCAGGGCGGGAAGGACTCTTGCCAGGTGAGGCAGGTTCTGGAGCGGTGGGAGGCCCTGTCTGGGGATGGGCACCAAAGCCCTCAGGAGCCGAGGTCCAGTGGAAAAGCAAGGAGCAGGACCCCCCAGCTGGGCCCAACCCTGGGTCCAGGCTGTGCTGCCTCTCAGCCCCAGGACCTTGGGACACTCAGTTTCTCGGTGTCTCAGGCAGGCGTGAGGTAGAACTTCTCAGGGAAGGCAGTGAGGGTGTCAGGGAGAGGCAGAAGCAGAAAGGGTGAAGACAGCGCTCTGCAGACAGAGAGGAGATGGAGGAGCCAGGACCAGCACAGGACAGTCATGGTGGTGGGGTGGGGGACACCAGCGTGGGGCCCGAGGTGGGGCACAGACACCAATGGGGGTCCAGTGAAGAGAAGCTGTGCCTCTCCGGGACTGGGGAGGGAGGTGGAGTCTCACTCAGCTTCCCTCCCTCGGCCTCAGCCTGACTCTGCCTCTGTCCCCCCCCCCATCAGGGTGACTCCGGGGGACCCCTGGTGTGTGGCGGACAGCTCCAGGGCCTCGTGTCCTGGGGGATGGAGCGCTGCGCCATGCGTGGCTACCCTGGGGTCTATACCAACCTGTGCAAGCACATTGGCTGGATCCAGACCACCCTTCGAGGCCCTTGAGGCCCCCTCCCGCCCCCCACAAAGTGATTGCGTGTCAGCTGCCCCTCTGTGTCCTCAGACCCAGGAGTCCAGGCCCAGCCTCCTCTCTCAGACTGGGAACCTCCAGCTCCATGATCCCAGCCTCCACTTCTGGCCCCACCAAAGCTGGGAGCAGTGGTTTAGGTTTTTCTCTCTGCACTTCAAACATTACGATCGTTCTATAATTCCTCTCTATCATTCTATAATTCATCCCTATCATTCTATCAAGGCCCCCCTCCAGGCTCTGAAGCAGTCACACAAATGCTCCAAAGAAGACAATTTACAAAACCCTCAATGTGTCTCAAATCAAAATAAAGGATACAAAAAAGGGAGTCATCTCATGTTTCACCCATCTCTTGGTTCGGTTTGTTAAAGGCACATCCACGGTGGCGCGTGTGTCCCAACAGGTGGCTCAGTGGGGTGAGGCTGAGCTGCTCCCCTGGCTCTGTTCTGCCACCAGCCACACAGCTCAGAGATTTAGGGACAAAGCCAAGCCCGGGGCTCAGGGCAAGACTCTCCTTTCTTGAGCTTCCTGCTTCTAGACAAGAACAACTGGACACAGGCTGCCCTGACCTTGTCAGGCCTCAGGAAAGTGTGACTTAATCACACTTGAGTTCAAGTTCCAACAAAGCTATTCTCTCAGCCAGGCACTGGTGACTCACGCCTATAATCCTAGCTACTCAGGAGGCTGAGATCTGAAAATTGAGTTATAAAGGCAGCCTGGGCTGGGCAGTTTGAGAATTGTACCTCCAATAGCCACCAAAAAGCTGGAAGTGGAGCTGCAGCTCAAATGGAAAAGCACCAGCATTGAAGGAAAAAAAGCTCAGGGACAGCACCCAGGCTCTGAGTTCAAAGTCTCGGAACTGGCGCATGCATGCACACAGACACACAAGTTGGATGTGTGATGTGCGCAAAGGAATTCAAGGGAGACCAAAGTTTTAGTCCAGTAATGAAAAGATGGTGTGATCCCCTACTAGAGCAAACCAGGGTCTGGAGAGAGGTGTGTGCATAACATAAGAGCTGTGGAATTTAATTTTGAACATGGAGATATAGGCTGGGTGGCTGGAGGTGAAGCCAAAAGTCCAAGAGCAAGGTTTGCCTGGCAGAGACGTTAAATTGAGGGGGGGAGGGGGGTTGGCGGTATGAGGATGGCAGGTAATGCTGGAAGACGAGATGAGCTCACACCAGTCCAAGCACGGAACCGTGGAGACACCAGGAAGAACAGGAGAGGCTGGTGCCCCGCCCAGAGGAGGAGCAACTAGTGAGTGAGTTCAAGTTCAAGTACTGGCACATACACAAACCTCGCTCTGTTATGGAGATACGGGGAAATCACAGCATGTATGGGTATTCATGAGACTGGTTTAAAAAACAAAACAAAACAGAAAACTGATACTGGCAGTTGAGCACCACGGCTTGTGCCTGTAACCCCAATGATTCCGGAGGTTGAGATGTGAGGATCTCAGTTCAAATCTAGCTCAGTTAGGAAAGTCCCACCAATGTACCACCAAAAGGCTGGAAATGGAACAGTAGCTCAAGTGGAAGAGCGCTAAGCCTTGAGAGGAAGAGGAAAAACTCCAGGACAGTGCCCAGGCCCTGAGTTCAAGCCCTGGCACTGGCACTCTCTCTCTCTCTCTCTCTCTCTCTCTCTCTCTCTCACACACACACACACACACACACACACACACACACACACAACTTGCTACTTGTAAGACAGGTAACTGTGAGCTAGAACAGCGCCCCCAAGAGGCTGTGAGTGGGTGGGACAGAGAGCACAGGACCAGGAGTGGGAATGGGAGTGGGCGAGGCAGACCATCTAACCCCCGCTACCCTGATGGTGCCGTGCGTGGATGAGAAGTTGGGGACCAGAACCCTAAGGAATGCCAACCCCACTCTAGGAAAGAATCCATCCGTCTCTCCAAGAACCGTGTCTCCCTGGATGTCCCGCCGTCCAGGACTCTGTGTGCTGGGCTCCCTGCCATCCACCCTGTCCATCCTTCTCTGTGTCTTCTTCCCTCCCTTCACGCGTGCAGGGGAGTGTGTGGGGGGTGAGCTCCTCCTCCAGGCCTGGGTGGGGAGCTTGACTTTCTCCACCCAACCAGCAATTCCAACCAGAACTTCCAGTTTCTGCTTGACAAAGAATCCCATGTTGAAGCCAAGCTAGGGTGAGGCCTCTTCTGGGAACCTTGGCCGGCCTCCATCTTTGCCTTTGTTTCTTTACTCAGCGGACTGGGGGGGGGGGGGTGCTCAGTCCTCACCGGGGCATCTCATACTCTCCTTCAGAAGATAATAATAGCTCATTTAATGAAACGTGTATGTCGTGCCCTTGACCTATGGGGAAACTGAGGTACGGGGCAGCCATCCCCCTGGGATCTCACATCCTCCATGTCCACAGGCTGAGCTACCGGGAACCCCATCTCTTTTTCTGATCCTAGTCCACCTTTCTCTGGGCCTGCCCTGCACAGGGGAGAGGCGGGGACATGTAAGAGATGGTGACTGGATCCGGGCCAGCCCCGGTGTGACTTCCAGCTGTGGGCTCCTGTTGTCTTGATAATCAGGTGAGGGGGTGGAGGCGCCCGGCCCTCGGTGGGTCCATGACCTCGACAGACACCCAGCATCCTCACCTCCACGCTGACCCAGCGCTCACCCCTCGGCAAATGCCAAAACCAGCCACCTCCATGCCAGGGCCTCCGGACTCTCCCCAAACCAGAAAGCTTCTCTGGAAGCATCAGGGCCAGGGCTACAAGAGGGCACAGGTACCCCAAACTGCCCACGCAAGCCCGTCACCTCGAGTCACCCGGCAGCCTCCCTCTTCACCCTACCTGAACCCAGCTCTGCTGGGCAGGAATGAATTGGGCACCCACTCAGAATCTGGCCCTGGAAGGCGGAGGGAGCGGAGGGAGGCGACTCCCAGGAACCTTTCTGTCACCTTCACATGGGACCCCCACAGCCATGCCAGCCCCCAGCCCCCACCCCCACTCCCACCCCATCACCCTCAAAGCCTCAGAACGCTGACCACAAATCCTCTTCCAATGCTGGGGGGGAGGGGGGTCCAGGGCAAAGGGGGAGGGGTAACGTGCCTGTCCTGGGCTTGAACTCAGGGACTTGGCTTTGAGTCATGATCATTGGATCTCAGCCTCCTGAGTTAGCTGGTACTGCAGGTGTGAGCCACCAGCACCTGCCTCAGATCCCATATTAAACAGAATTCCTTTACCCGTTGAAAGACTTTGAAATAGATTGTCTTCAGGGAAAAGAAAAGAAAATAGTAGAACAGCTCTTCAGATTTTGCGGCATGTTTCATTGTCATGGAGCAACGGGACCACTTTAAAGGGTGGATGGCTGATAGCACTACAAATTATTCTTATCCAAAGCCAGGAAAATGAATTTTGTCAGGTGGAAATACAATTAACTGCTGCTGACACCCACACAGCGCGCGTGGAATAAAGCACTTTTACACCTGTGTGTGCTTCTCTATCAGATCTTACAGGCACTATGGCACTTCATAATAAGTCAAGAGAAACAACATCCTTCTCCCCCCCACCCCCAGACAACAGTCTTGCTGTGTGGCCCAGGCTGGCCTCGAATTCTGGATCCTTCTACCTCTACCACCCAAGTGCTGGGCTTTGTGTGTACCACCATGCTTGACAAAAAGCTAACATCTCCCCCACCCCCCATTTTTTTTTTAGCACACAAGAATAGCACAAAGGAGCTTTCGTTGTGACAATTCCAGAGATGCACATGATATAATTTGAACAAAGTGTTGCACAAGTTCACCCCCTCTAAGATAGTCTATAAATCCCCTTCCGTGCCCGCTGATCAACTGTGACAGCTTCGTTTGGTAGATGTCCGGAGACTCGTAGTTCCACCCGTTGTTTCAAAAGTCTCTCTGAGCACTAGGTTTGGAGATCATTCTAAACTCCCAGAATACGGAGAGACACCAGGGTGCACGCGATCCCCAGCCCCTTGCCTGAACCCCACTGCCTGTACCCTGTAGCGTCTCATTGATGACACCGACTGCCAGGTGTCTCTTTCCAGCCTTGGCTTCTTTCCAAATTCTGACCCCACCTCTGTCCTCCTAATCCCTAACCCTGCCCCTCCACCCCCTGGGCTTAATGTATGGGCCCCGCCCGGCCTCAGTTCCAGAAGACGCCCACGATCCCCAACCACCACCTCTTCCTCCTTCCTCGCCCCCCCCCCCCCAGCCCCCAGAACCCGCTCCCTCCCCACCTTCCTTCCTGGACTCCTTCACCCTGAGGATCTGCCCCTAAAGGCATACTGACCCCACATTGATCCCCGGGCTGGATCGGGGTGTCAGGGCAGCTCCGGCACCTGCACCTGTCTGTCCAGCCTCCCGTGCCTCGTGCCCAGCCGCTGGCTCCTGTCCTTGGGAGAGGGGGTGATGGAACACGGTTGGCATCTCTAAATTTCGGGTGAGAAGGGGCTGGCTGGAGGTGATGAGTGGGGATGGGGCACGGGGCTGGTGAGGTGTGTGGAAGAGGACCTCAGGGGTTAGGTTCTGGGATGGAGATGCAGGTGCAGCGCTAGATGGGGGGCTGGGGTCCCCACTCCGGGGCAGGAAGGGGGCTCCCCCTTGGCCCTGGGCCTGCGGGAAGTTCACAGTGGGTTCACCCTGTGTGGGCGGGCCCAGGCCCGGGTCCCAGCCTGTCCTCCGGGCCCCGCCCCCCCGCCGGGGACCAGCCCAGACTGGGGGTGCTGGGAGCCGTCGGGGGGTGGAGAGGGGGAGCCAGCACCGGGAAACTGATGCAGGGGGAGGGAGTGCAGGGGTTAAAAGCCATGGGCCAGGGCTGAAGTTCAAAGCAGCTGGCGCTGAGCTCTCCCGGGGCCCTCACTCAGGTAGGGCTGTGGGGGGAGGGGTGGGGAGGGGGGAGAGGAAGGGGGGGCATCACAGGTCGCAGAGGACAGCTAGGCCTGTGAGGTGGTAGAATGCGGTGGGGGGGGGGGGACGTAGGCGCAGGTGCGAGGAG